AGTCATTTTCTGTGAACCCCTAGTATGTAACAGCATTCAATACATGTACACTTTTCAGTTGTCGCGTTTCACCAAGAGTGTACAACACATTCACTCCGTTCGCGACCACTTTGGCTCAAGAAAACACTGCCCCTTGCGGTCGTTTTCTTCAGGGTGCCGTACGGGACGACCTGTGGTCGTTCGTACTTTCGCTTTTGCTTTGCACCTTTCGTCGCATCTCGCACTTTCGTTCGTTCGATTGCTCGCCCGCTCTCGTTCGTTCGCCCCTTTGCAACCACGGGTTCTCGTCCTTCGGACTCGCCCAGGGTTGTAATTAATATAGACCGTGCTTCCAGGGATCTGGCATACTTCTTCTATCACCTTCCGGTTGAGAGGGTTGCCTGGGCGTTTCCCTACGCCCCACCTGGTTTGTACACTCAATTATCCAAGGATCTATGCCATCCGCGTTGGCCCATGGATTCTTAACGAGCTGAGGGGCACCGAAGCGGTCGAGCATGGCAGAACATCCTGGGTGGTCACGTGGCAGTGGAGGGCAAAGGATTTCAAAAGGGGTCAGAGGTGCAGATATTTCTGTTTAGTCCATATTCTAACCCCGTAAGAGTGGTCAAAAGGTACACCCAGCCTTAGGAAGTTATGTGAGGTCTCCTCCGCAGTATCCAATTGATCACATTTCCGTATACTTGATGCTTTTTAGCTGGGGAGACCTCCTTGAGGAGCTTGGACATTCATTGAGATTTATTGCTTTGCTGAGATGTGCTCAACGCACGCACAACGGGAGAGAATATATCTGTAGATGTCAGAACAATTCAGAACACATCGATTCATTTCTTGCATATGTAAGAAGGACACTGCCTCAGGCAAAGGAACTTGCATTTCATTGATCTGGGGGGAGTCAGCTTCATAAACGATCACCTGCTGGTAATCCATCCAGTGGCCAACTTTCCAAGGGGTCACCCCACCAAAGTTTTTAAAGGTGACCGATCGAGAAGGGCTGCAGGGAGGGGGCGAGCCAAGCTGGGGGTGCATAGTACAAGCATAAGTCTCTCCATGCTTTGTAGCACTCGAGCAAACGTCTCGTAAAGAACCTGTTCTCCCCGTTCCACTCGGCACGCGAGGCACAGTTCCCTACGGTGTACAGTTTTGTAGGGCCAAGCCTCCCGGTTTGACACTCTTCGATCAATGGGGATGAGTTACTGTAAGTGTTCGATGGAGCAGCACTGCCGAGGTATGTGGTGCTGATAGCCAACAACAGCAAGGATCTCGTCAATGCTGAACACGATGCTAAGCTGGTTGCTGAGGCGGTGCTGCGCTGTCAGCTTTGCACAAGTGAGGATCGGATCAAGAGGCTTTTCGGACAGACTGCGTCCGAGGTAAAAGAATTCTTGGAAGACTTGGTAGACCAGCTGGCCAAGAACGATCAGGTCTTTCTGTGGTACTCAGGCCATGGTTACGAACACGAGGGTCAGACTCTGGTAGTTGGAGCGACTGAGCAGCACGAAGATGACGACTCACAGGAGATTACGGATTACCTCTGGCTGGAAGATGTCTTATTTCATCTCGTGGAGCAAAGTCAAAAAGGCTTGACTCTTTGTTGCGTTGTTGCATCGTGCCGGACGAAGGGCATACCGCAGCAGAGCTTAACGCATGGGGTGCAGATCATACCAGCTACAAATCGTAGACCTTCGGAAGAAAACTGCTATGCGTTCGTGTATGCATGTGCTGCTGGCAAGACCATGTTGGACACTTCCATTTTTGCCATGGCCTTTTGTTACAACCTTGAATGTCAACCCAAGAATCTCGCAGGGCTTGCAGCTTCCTTGAAAGAGGAGTGCAAGTATGTAACCTTTGGGAACCTTCTTTCACCAGCACTCGAGCCCTTTGGCCGCACCGATGAAATCTTCCTCCACACCTTGCAAACTGCAACACCACGGAGATTCCGTCAGAACGCCGTGTGGATCAATGCCATCCAAAGGGCCAGATTTGTGTCGGATCACTTGCAAGTTTTGGCATCTGAAGAGATCTTCCGTGTAGAGGATTCAGAGCCCTATAAGTCCTATGTGGCTGTCAGGGATTTGGCTGGACAGATTATTGAAAGATTTTACCATGAGGCAGCCCGCTTTCAGGAGTTTCGTGCGCAACTTCGTATCCTCGCTTGCAACAGGTTAGATGAAGTCCATGGAGTACTGTCGGTCGCTGCATCAGCGAGCCAAGGTTATCCACCAAACGACTGGGAACCTGAGGAAGACCATCAGGGAAGTGAGGACGCGCGGGTAATACGGAACTTGCCTGATGAGGTGGTCACTGTCATTGGCAATGTGATTCGGAAATGGAAGGATGATCTTCCTACTCAGCCAGTGTTCGATATGCTGCAGATGTTGGGCTCTTATTTCACGGAGAGAAACTTTCAGGATTTCGAAGGCAGCTTCCGGGACGAGCGTGTGGACGAGTATTTGCACTACTACTTCCGCATTCCAAGAACCTTGCCTGTTCATAGTTGCTTTTCACTTGCAAACAGAATCAGGGTGCCTCTCAAACTCAAACCTAGTGTACAGATTGGGCATTCCTAGAAAGCCAGAGACAACTTGAGTCGTTTGTGAAATGTACCTAGTGACACTTACCTCACTTGCCAGTGAATTTACACTAACACTACATCTCGACGGCTCAGATGGATGTGGAGAGCCCGCACCACTGGTTGGCCCCAAATGAACCAATTCCTTTACCAGGTCAACCCAGCAGCTTAGGCGCTTGGCGCCGTGCAAAAAGCACGTATCAATGGCGCCCTTACTGTTTGATACTGTTTGTAAGTCAGTTAGGTTCATGTGACCTTCGAAACGTGAGTGTGTCTTTGGAGTGCAGTGGATCCAGGGTGATACACACATGGGTGTTTTCTTGCTAGATTTGTAACATCCCAGTTATGGCATCGCTTTCATGTATCAACTGGGGTGAATGCCACAATTAGCCACAGATTTGTGCCAATGCCAATTCTGAGGAGTGTCAGGCGCTACTCAGGAGGACGCAGAGAAGCTACATGAATGTCTTGAGGAGAAGTGCGACCACTTGGGTATCAGTGTCCCGCTTGGGAATCACTGGTTAAAATCATTTTTTGTTTCAGACACCTCGTTTCCTCATGTCAAGACATGGTTTTCGGCATTTAGCAAGCATGTGGTTTCTAATCACTAACTTTTTCCCCAGACAGCGAGAGCTATTGGAGTTTTTACTTCACGTATAGGAAGTGCCTGTGTGCGCTTTGGAGCTTGGGCGCTGGTGCCACTGCAGGGTGCAGCTGCCAGATGTGTGGCCATGTGTGCTAAAAAAGGGTACAGGAGAAAGAAGGGGCACACATTTTTGGACTGGATGTTTCTCTTGCCCGTAAGGCGAGGAGGCCATGAGAGAGATTCGTGTGCATCTTGGGACAGGTAGCTGTTACCTGATCCTTGTGTCCCCAGTGAAGCTGAAAGCAGATGGACTAAAGCGTTGCCTTGAAGATTTCGTGAAGGAACGCAGGTGCTCGTCTTTCGCCTGGGCCTTTGCTCAGAGCGTAGAAGCAGTGCCCGCCTACGCGGGTTTTCAGAAGCTGGTCCACCTGGTCGAAGACTTGCGGTCAGAAATGCAGATCCCGTTTCTTGGAACAAGACGACTCGACGACTCGACGACCTTGCTTGGATCTGTTTTTGTTTCAACAAATCAGCAAACGCATCCTAAGTAGCCGAACCATTTGGCAGAGAACTCAAGCCGAACATAGGAGAAAATCTTTGCAGATGTTTTCAGCAACAAAGCCAGATGGGCAAAGCTTGATTTTGACGTGCTTGACTTGAAAGTGCCTATGTTGAGGAATGTGGTCCTTTTCAAGGGTTCCTTCTTTCGCTCCCTTGCGATGGAGATTTTGAAGAAGAATGGGGAGGTGTTGGAAGAATGGCAACTGCGAGTGGTGAATGACCACAGAGATCTGCAAGAGGATGACTGGCACCTTGTTGTTGAACACACGTTGAAACTCAGATACACCACCAGGCGGTTGTTGTAGGGAGGTTCCGGGGTTCCCAGAGGCTTAAGGCATTGCGTAGGGGCGGCGGCGCAGCGAGATATTTGGGGTGCGTTCGTTCCCTGAAGTTCTTGTTCCTGTTATTGCAAAACCTTGTACTGAAATCTGTTTGACGAGCTGGGCCGCCTTGTAAATTCAGAGTTTGTCTAGTCTATTGAGCTTCTCAACATGAACAGTTTGAGGAAAGGAACATTTGTTACACGGAGATGTTGACGTCAGTGTCATGTTAGAGCAAGAAGGATTGATCTTGGAGATGACTCCTTTTGCATGTGAACCACTGCAAGTAGGGCTCCAGCAGGGTGTTGATTCTGGTGGAATTGAGGTGCAATGCTCATCAAAAGCTGAGCCTTCATTTTGTGACCAGCCTGCATTGGCCGTCGCTGGAGTGGACTGATGCAGAGCTTCTGGATCAATTGAAAAGCCTTGCCAATGGGAGGCGTGCTGGGAATGACTCAACAGCTGTTTGACGAGACAAGTGCCATGTTTAGTTTCCGGGGAGAAAATCACCCCTAATGCCTAATGCTTTTAGAGAGCCGATAGCTAGAGTTTGGTCGAAAGAGTTTCAGCACCACCTGGGGCTTATAAAACTCTGTAAACTACTTGCTGTGCATCTCAGGTGGTGCATTGTTTCTCTCTGCAATCTAAAAAACCTCAGCTCTCGCTTTTGCCACGGACGTGTGGCGGTAGGTCTAAGAGCCAAGTGCTGCACGCTGCGGCATTCCTGATCCACGCGATGCAAAAAGATCCAAAGGACTCGATGCTCGGCCGAGGCTGTTTAATCCCACGATTCAGGCGGTTGGTCCCACCACTACCTTTCAAGGATTGTGCCGATTATATAAGCGGTTCAAAAACAAGCCTGAGACTTTTCAGAAAGGATAGCTTCAGTCCAATGAAGATCTCCAAGAAGATCCAGAAATCTGCGCGAGAGCCTCGAAACTAAGCCTAGCAGTCTAGCTAGTAAAGCTGGACTTTCAAGAGGGAATGTTCCACCACACCAAATGTGTTTTGTGCTGTATGCATGCTTTTTCTTTTCAGTGTACGCAGTCAAACGTTTGTTTGGCTGGCTGGGCGCCATCTGAACCATGAGACGCAGCCGCTGCTTGGAACGCGATAGGTCTAAATCACTTGGACTTGGATCACCCAGTGCCCCCTACCACACCTTTCTATCTAGCTTTGCTTCATTTGGCCACACTCGCAAAGATGTATCCGTCGCGCGGCGCTCCTCCCGCTTCTTCTGCACACAAGCTGAGGAGAGCCAGGGGAGCGAAGGAGGTGCGAATCCGTGGAAAGTTCATTGCTTGTGCGTTCCCCCCTGACGTTAGACTAAGGAGAGTTTGATCATTAGAACATTTGCTGTTGAAATGGTCTCCTTACTGTGCCGATGTGGTTGCCACTGAAATTGAGTTTTACACTAGGTACTGGAGCAGTTTCTGAAAGAAGAGGGGGAGCTACGACCTGAAGAGCTTTTGCATAGGCTGCTGATGAAGGCAGGATGTCAGCATGTGGCAGATGGCAGCGTATTTTCGAGGGAACTGTAGAGCAGACGCCACGCGACGCGTGGAAAGGGTCGTGCATCTTGAGGTTTACGTGGGATTCTGGTGGACAAACGAAGCATAAGCATTGTTCATGCTTCCAATTTGGAGGTGTAGTGGCCCCAGACAGGGCTCTGATTGGAAAAAATGCCGGCAACAAACTGTGCTGGGTAGGAATGCCTGGTGCATGCCAGGTGGTGTAGAAGATTTTCCATCAGAATAGCAATGGTAGTTGTCACCCCGACTGTTCTCCAAAGGCTCTGCAGATGGTCTAATTCATCGTAGCTGGCTATAGCTCTGGAGAGGAACAGATATTGTAACCCCAGCAAACCAACATATATAACACCAAGAAAATGACAAATGAGTTGAAAGGACAGCAAAAAGCAAGAAGTAGTGTGTTTGACCTTGTTGCAGGTGTTGGAGGACTTTCCTTGGGGTGTGGCCGAGCAGATCGCAGAGGCAAAAGAGAGTGAAGCTCTGCCGCTGAGCTGAAGATTGCGGGGCGAGTTGGACCCCCACGTCGATGTGTGGGAAGACGGGGGTCGAATTTGAAAGCCATCCAGGGTGACTGAAGGCTGCGCATGGCCGCACTCATTTTTCAGCACGCATATTTCTTGGAACATGTTTGGCTAGCAGACCTGAGTGGAGTCTACTCAGGGCAAAAGCACAGCTAGAGTCTAAAGGTCCGGATTTGAAACGCTGCAGAAGTTGACCTTGTTGAACAAGACGCCCCGCTTCACAGGGGGGTCATTTGAGGTGCTACACGTATACAGCACTGTTTCGCTATGTGGTGCTCATCGTCAACGGTGCCGACGACCTGACAAACGTCCTTGATGGTGCGAGACTCGTAGGTGAGGCGTGTGTGCATTGTGGCCTTTGTAACTTGGGTGTGCCAACATTGGGGGTACGAACCTGGAAACCGACCAGCCCACCAAGTAAAACAAACGACACCAGGTAGATCAAGCGTTCGGTCTCCTGGTGGGTTAAAACCCATAGCCACGTCTGGGTTTGGGTACGGTGAATTCGAGGTGTTGGCTTGGGGTGGCAGCCATACCAGAAGAACATCTGGAGCAATTGAGTTCACCCCACCCAGTAGCTGCCAGTGGTTTTGAGGGGAGTAACTGAAGGTGTTTCTCTGCGATTTTTGCTGAATCCAAGGTACTCGAGATCAGGTGGTGGAAATCTTTGATGAAACGGAGACTGTGATCAAAGAGGAACTGGAAAAACTGTTGGCGAAGCTTAAAGAGAAGGACAAGGTTTTTGTCTGGTATTCTGGCCATGGCTATGGTTGTCAGGATGGCCAGCATAAGGGCTATACTCTGCTGATACCAAAGGCTGAGCAGTTCGGATCATACTTATCGGATGACGAAGGTGAGGACTTGGGAGACACTGTCAACGGTCGCTTGCCTTTCCTTGGCCTCATCTTTCTTTTCCCCTCAAGCCCCATTCGCACGGTTTTCTTAGACCGGGTTTGACGAGGAAAGATCAGCTCCACCAAGGCTTGTGGCTAGAAGATACGCTCTTCAACCTCTTGAAACACCGGACTAAATTGACGGTTTGGTGTGTGGTTGCGGCCTGCCGGGAAGCAAAACCTGACAGAGACGTTTGGCATGAGAAGAAGAGTGGAAGACGCATTGTCGCGCCCAACATTCATGAGCCCTGGCCGTCAACAGGCCTGAATAGGTATATCTTCATGTATGCCTGTGCTGTCGGCCAGGCCATGTTGGATACTTGCATTTTTGCAAAGGCATTTTGCTTCAACCTGGCATCTGGCCCACCAAGTCTGATGGATCTGCAGGACTCCTTGCTGACTGACAGTGAGCTTGTGACCTTCGGAGACCTTCATGCACCGCCCGTCGTCACAGTTGGTCAAACTCGCGGTCTCCGCCTTCAAACTCAGAAATTCGTCACTCGCGACGATCTTGAGTACGACCCTGCCTGGATTCATCCCATGCGAGAGGCTAGACTAGTCTCGATGCACTTACATGCACTTGCAAACGATGAGATCTTAAAGTCAGACAATTCAGATCCCTATATGCCCTTTGCCCACCATAGAGCCATTGCTGCTGAAATCATTAAGCGATTTCATGATCAAGCAACAAAATATCAGAGGTTTAAAGCGCAACTCCGCATCACAGCCTGCAACGACCTAGATCAGGTCAAAGCAATGCTGTCTCAGACCTCCTCTGAAAGCCTGGGCTATGCACAAACAGAGTGGGAACCTCCCGATGAGAATGACGGCACTTTGGATATGCGGGTGTTGCACAATTTGCCAGATGATGTGGTTGGTGCGCTTGGCGGGGCAATTCGAAAATGGAAGGAGGAAGTGGAGGAAGGCAAGGGCCTTCCCTCCCGGCCAATCTTTGAGATGCTGCGGATGCTGGGAACCTACTACACTGAAAGAAGATTTCCGGACGCACGACTTGAACGAATGGGCGAAGAAGACGAAGAGGACGAGGTTAAGAAGTGCCTGAAGGACTATTTCTATATACATTATATTCCTGGAGCTTTGCCCTAAGTATCATAGGGATTGCACCTTTTTTT